GCCTCGGAGCTCGGGGCCGGCTGCGGCTGCTGTTCCTCGGCAGGCTGAGCCCTCACGGCCTGCTCACTCTCTGGCCCTGGCGTAGGTGCCGAGTCTGGAGCAGGGACCGTCGGACCTTCGCCAAGCCCAGAGCCGGTGCCACTGAATTTCAGGGTTTGCAGCTGAGCGGCGGCAGCCTCCACCACCTCCATCACACAGCACCAGAGGCCGAAACTGCCTCACGTTTCTGGGCCGGCGGATAGGACAAGTTTACGGCTCTCGCCAGAGAAGATAAAACCGCCTCCGCAACGTGTGCAACAGCTTCCGAGCCAAACCTCCCGCGTTTACAGGTAACTACACGAGGAGAGGTCTCGAGACACGCCCCCGGCGCTGCTAGGCCGGCGGCACTTCCGGGAGAGCAGTGACGTAACGCGGCGCGACGGTGCTCCCATTGGGCAGGACGGATCCGGAGGACCAATGGAAAGCCACCCTCGGAAGGCCCCAAACCCGCTGTTTCACTGCATCCTGGGAAGCAATCTCGCACCGTTTGGCCACGGCAGGACTCTCTTGTAGGTGGTTATGATCTAATTCTACTAGAAACGTCCGTATTCGGGATTGTGGGACAGAGGAGATGCCTAAAAAGTTCTAGGTTCTGTACATTAGAATCCTGAGCCAAAAAGTCTTTAAAAAGTTACTTGTATTTTCCTTGAAGTTAAATGAAATTAAGTGGTTGGACCTATGGATAGAAAGTGCATGTACAGTTCGTTGAGAGAGAAAACCACAACGGTACCGTTTGCTTTCTCCAAAGCACCATGGAGGCTGATGCTTGTGGATGTTGTGGTGACCTTGTATCGTATTTGACCCTGCTTCATAGAAAATAGTGCGGTGCCACTAAGATGTATTCGTTAACCTGGGATTAATCTAGATTTAATCTAGATTGTAAAGAAGGCAAGCAAAAAGTTCTTAGAGGAAGACATTAGAATTTTCTGGTTTCTTATTAGACCTCCAATTTGATGAATTGATTCCTCTTAATAATTTAAGAATCATTGACACAGTTCACTATGCATGCATTTGTCTCAAGGACTGTGCTAATATTTTTAATAAACTATTCATTGGGAAGTTATCGTGAGTCGCCCACAATATTAGGTCTTAATAGAAGTTCAAATGTAGTGTAGTTTTTGCCAAGTATCCAGTGAGTGATTGGTTGCAACAGCCCACAGGTAACAAAATTTGAGATTGCTCAGGTCCCTTAAATGAAATGGATATAAGGATAGCAGTTGGATATAACCTGCACCAATCCCCCTGTGCACTTTAAATCATCCCTAGAGTACTTGTAATACCTGAAACAATGTAAACGCTAGTCAGTAGTTGTTATACTGTACCATTTAGAAAATGACATGGAAAAGTTTTTTTGTGTTCAATATAGACACAGTTTAAACCAATATATTTTTATTCAGTGGTTGGTTGAATCCATGGATGAGGAACCTGTGGATACTGAAAGCTAACTGTAAATAATACTAATTTTAACGTGTTCACAATCTAGTTGAAGTTAAAAATAGGGACCTGCACAGAAGATAAATACCAAGAAATTTGAAATATGGAATAGACGATGCAGTGCAGCAAAGAAGAGAAATTAAGTAGAACTGGTGTGCTGCACTATGAAAGTCTTCTAAAATGCAGCAGGAATTTAAATTTGAGATATTACCTACTGCAATGATTATTAGAGCTTAGAGTTCCCAGCTAACTGTACCTGAGTTCAGAACTCAATTTACCATTCTGTTGTTAGTGTAAATGTGACCTTGAGAGGTAGTTTAACATACGTAAATCTCAATTTCCTTATCTATGAAATGGAGATTCAAATACTACCTCATTTAGTTCCTGGACCATTAAATAAGGTGTTTTTGTTGTTGTTGTTTTGGTTTTGGTTTTTTGAGACAGGGTCTCACTATGTAGTTGAAACTGTCCTGGAACTCACTGTGTAGCCCAGGCTGGTCTCGAACGCACAGCAATCCTGTTGCCTCAGCTTCCCGAGTGCTGGGATTACAGGTGTGCGCCATGACGCCTGGCCCTAAATAAGGTTTTATAGAAGAGGATGGAATGTCATGCATATACTCTATGAAAAAATACTTAGAAAATGGGACAATGTATGAACAAGAATGAATATCTTATTGGCAATGATCTTACAGAGATAAGCAGTAAGAATTTGAGGAGAGAAGAATTTTTAGTTGTGATGACCCTCCATGCAATCAAAAGTGTATTACATTTTCCCAGGAGTTAAGTAATAAAAGGCTGAACCAGGATTTGAGTCCGTGAAATAGAATAAAGAAAATTACAGGCATCAAGAGAGAATCAAAATACTCTAAAATTTCTGGCGAGTGAAACTATAAGGAAATTAGCATTATTGACAAAAATTTTAAAGTTGGAGAGAGATAGAGTACATGAATTTGAGTTTGAGGAAAAATTGGACAATTAAAATACCAATAGACATTTAAAAATAAGAAACTGGAGTTTAATAGAAAGGTGAAGTCTAGAAGTATAAGTTTGAGGGATGATTCAAGTAATCATTCAATAATCATTTACTTAACGTTACTATCTGCTATGCACTGCATTATGAACTGCATACAGGAAGGTAAATAAGTCACAGTATTTGCCCATAAGAATTAACAGTTCAGTAGAAAAGACAAGTTGGAAAACAAGTAACATGTACTATGATAGAGAAAAGTGCTATAGTACAGGCATATGATAAAGTAGCGAAGTGTACAAGTGAGAAAATAAAAAGTATTGGGAAAACCAAAGAAGGTATAGTGTACTACTAAACATTGTGACTACAATATTAATAGTAACAGTGCTGGGCATAGTGACACACACCTGTAATCCCAGCACATAGGAAGCTGAGGCAGGAGGATTCCAGGCCAGCATGGAATACATGATGAGACACTGTCTAAAATAAAATAAAGTTGGGGGCCAGGAATTTGGCTCAATGTTTCCTCTTCCTACCTCACAAGCTCAAGGTCCCAAGTTTGATCCTGGTACCCCCCCAAATTTTTTTTGGTAATTGAGAGCCATAAGGCCCATTTATGTGTCTCAGGTCCCATCCTGCATCCTGCATGTCACTTAACAGTATGCATGATAGAACCAGTGCCCTGAGACTTCTGACCCTGGCCCCCAGGGATTCAGGAGACAACAGATTTAGCTTTCATGAACTGTAAAACTCACTATAGGTAATGGACCAGACTGAATACAAGTATAAGACAGGAGAAGAGATCTCTGAAATTTGAGGCTGGTCTCTATATGGAGACTCTCCTGGTCAGTGAGTCATCAGATTTCCCTGACTGTGTCTGGTCCGTGCCAGGGCTTGAGCGTCATCCGATGGTTTAGGATTAATCTTTGGCTCGAACAGAACCAAGGGAGAATTGACCCCTAGGAAAGGTAGATACCTGGGACCACTTGAAATCCCCACCCAACACTGCAGGAGGCACTACAATGAGTATAACATTTAAACTGGACCCCTAAATACAGCCATGGGCTTGTTAATCTGAGAAAGCAGGAGCATTTAATAAGAGATAATAAGATCGTGTAATTTCCTGTTGCAAACATTCATTTTTTGTTGTTTTGCTCGTTTTTTGAGCTGGGGTCTCACTATGTACTTCAGGCTCACCAAGTGCTGGGATTACAGGCAGGAGCCACCTCGTCTGACTTCAAACTCTATCCTTTGTAAATAGCACTTAGAATATAATCCCGACTCCCAGCTCTAGTTTTCGGCCTACCTGATCTAATTCTTCTGTCTTCTGTATGGTACATGTTTGTTAGTCTGGATCTTCCTTCAACTCATTAAATTCACTCTTCATGTGTGGCCTTTTCTCTGTCCCATTTTCTCTTCACAGTAGCATATTTTCTTACTCATTTTACTCATGTTTCTAACTCAACTATGACATTCCATAGAAAGCTTTCTGGACTGTCCAGTATATAGGTACCCCACATAGCAGTCACTCCCTAGATTATTGTTAGTATTGTTTTCTTTTCCATGGTGCTTTTGGCTGTGTGAAATTACACTTATTGATCTCACTGTAGTTTGTGGTTTCCCACAATAATTTAAGTCTCACAAACCCAGTACCATTGTCTAATTCACAGCACTTTTTTTTTTAGTTACTAGAACCATAACAAATCCTATAAATATTTTTTGAATAGAAGAATGAGAGAAAACAAATAATAAAGCTTTATTAGACAATCACAGTAAGGAAGATGCATCACTGATAATGCCGAAGATGATACAAAAGTTCTTCATTTAGTATAAAATTAATTCATTCCATTTAAATTAATATCTAAGAAAAGCTACTGCTGCAGATTAAAATCTTTTATTAGATGGAGAAGAGCTCCGAGTTTCAGGATAAGAATAGCTGTGGCTCTACCTAGTTTTGAAATGGGTCAGTCTTTTACAATTGATACTTTTCCTAAGTACTTGAGTGTTTCAAAATGTCCTGAATTTACCTCCGGTACTTCCAGAGCCTGCATATCCACTGCATTATTTCTAACAGCTACTAACCTTCACCTGAAATTTTCAGCATATGGCTAAAGTTAACAAAACTCTTCAAAGTACTGGCCCAGTGTGGTGGCTCACACCTATAATTCCAGTTCTGTCCTTCAGGGACTGAGGCAGGAGGATCACCACAAGTTCAAGCCCAGCAAGGGCTCTACAGTGATTTCAAAGACAGCCTGGAATAGGTAGCGAGACCCTGTCCTCAAAAACAAGACAAAATAAATAAATAAATGACAGGTTGAATAATTTACAGGATCACTATTAAAATTAAGAGAGAAGTTACTTCTAAGTTAATCAGTGAAAGGCTAAATCACATTTCAAGCAGAACATTTAAAACAAAGTATATTTTAAAGTGCAAAAAATAGTTTTGCAAATTGATGATTCTCCACATATTTTTCAGATTGAGAAATTTTACCAATGATAGAAAAGTAAAAAAAAAAAAAACCTGCTAACTAGTTCTTAAAGCCATTTCTACTGTTTTATAGTACCTTTTGACTCCAGATGCAGTGGCAGATAAACAGCGTTGTATAGCATAGGAATGTGTTAAAATACAGAATCTCCAGCCTTACTGCAACCACACATCTTGTACTTCAGAATCTTGTACTGCATTTCAGTTAAATTCCCCTTGTATCTTATATTCACATTAATGATTAAGAAATTCATCCTTAGTGACTAAGTGAGGAAGGAAACAACCCCAGGTAATATAGTACTTGAAAGTCAAAAGAATGAATGTATTTTGTAAAAGAGCAGCTGAAATTCTGACCTAGTTAGTCTAAGATGAACAGACTAAATATCTCATTGTCTGTTGATACTTGCATTGGGATATCCTACAAGGGCCTCAAACTCCCATATCCAAAAAT